GAATACCATATGCAATTGTAACAGAGTATTTGTGTATGTAAACATACCTAAACATAGAAAAAGTATGGTAAAAATACAGTATACACACACACACACACACACACACACACAGAGCCATCCCTTGGTATCCACAGGGCATTAGTTCTAGGCCCCCCATGGATACCAAAATGCTCAAATCCTGCAGTTGTTGAACCCGCAGATATGAAGAGCAGGCCCTCTGTAACCACGGGTTCCAAATTCTGAGAACACTGTATTTTCCATCCCTAGCTAGTTGAATGCAAGGATGTAGAACCTGTGGATAGGGAGGGCTGAATACATATATCATCTCTATCTATCTATATTTCTTCTTTTGAATTATTTTCTTGGTCTATATTTAATTCTGGTGATTTGTTTGCAGAAGTAAACAGAAATTATAAATGTACTATTCTATAGAATGTTTTTGTTTTGCAAAAATAGCCTGTGGCATAAGAAATTTTGAGAATCACTGGTTGTTATATATATAAGTCAGCAAAAATTTTAATGTCTCTAAAGTGATTACAAATTAAATGCATTTTTGCCTTGCAGAGTTTACAATGTGGTGGACAGGCTAACCCATTTGCCTTGGAAGATAATGCAAATTTAAAATTGCAAATTTGGCTGGGCACGGTGGCTCATGCCTGTAATCCTAGCACTCTGGGAGGCCGAGGTAGGCGGATTGCTCAAGGTCAGGAGTTCAAAACCAGCCTGAGCAAGAGCGAGACCCCGTCTCTACTATAGATAGAAAGAAATTAATTGGGCAACTAATATATATAGAAAAAATTAGCCGGGCATGGTGGCACATGCCTGTAGTCCCAGCTACTCGGGAGGCTGAGGCAGGAGGATCACTTGAGCCCAGGAGTTTGAGGTTGCTGTGAGCCAGGCTGATGCCATGGCATTCACTCTAGCCTGGACAACAAAGCGATACTCTGTCTCAAAAAAAAGAAAGAAAAACAAAAAGTCAGCTGGAAAATAAAATAAAAGAAAATAAGAAAAAATTAGCTGGGCATGGTGGCGCATGCCTGTAGTCCCAGCTACTCAGAGGCTGAGGCAGGAGGATTGATTGAGCCCAGGAGTGTGAGGTTGCTGTGAGTTAGGCTGACACCACGGCACTCACTTTAGCCTGGGCAACAAAGCGAGACTCTGTCTCAAAAAAATAAAAATAAATAAATAAAATAAAATTGCAAATTTAAAATGCAGCTTTAAGGGTGATACGTGAGCATGTACCGTATGGTAAGGAATGTGATGAATGCTTTACCTGTGTTATTTCATTTTATTCTCAAAAGAGCCCTATGAGACAGCTCCATTTTGCAGATGAGGTTTATATTTTTCAGAGAAGTTATGTCATTAGCCCAATGTTGCACAGCTAACAAAATATTAGAGATAAAATGTAGACTGCAGGGCCTATGGTCTTAACCACTCCATAGGGAATTTAGGTCATTTGGGGAGAGGATGGTCAGGGAGGCTTTTTAATACCAATTATTTCTTAATTGAGGGTATTTGTTTTCCAGTGTATCTGAAAGGAACTTGAGGAAATGAAAAGAAAAACTGGATGCAACCTCATTAACAGATGAGGCTCTTGTCTGGAAATGTTCTTTCAACACAGTTAGTTATAATCAAACGTCTTTTAATAAGGAATTGTGCTGAGTGATGTACCCTCAAGCCAAATCAAGCAAACAGAATCCATGTCCTCTAAAGACCAACCCTTGTGACTATGTAGAGGACATGGATGTTTAAACAATGAACCAAGAACAAGTGCATTACAAGGCAAGATAAAATTCAGTGTTTACCTGGTATTAAGGCACTGGACCTTTCCGCTCCACCAGACTTGCACGTGGTAGGAAAAGGAGGAAGGCGCCCTGGAAGGAATGGGAGACAAAAGTGAAGAACAGGCAGACAATGGATGCTGCTCTGGGTTTAAATTGGGAGACCAAAGATAGATGGGTCTGAAGAGTGGGACCGATGCCAAACCCAGTCTTATTTGGCCTCCTGCCCAGGACTGTGTCTACTCTGTCCCACCAGAGATGGGCCCTGGTTCCACCCAATGTCAGTCATTTCACACATACTATATCTTCTCCCCAGCAGCCCTGCCCACTGGCCCTGGGTGTTCTGCTGTCCAGAGACTCAGAGAGGCTGTGTTGCAAGTTTCCCTGTTGATATGCATAAAGGATGGATCCTTTTTTTCTCCTGCCAAAGGTATTTTGCTCTGACTTCCCAATGCCCCCTGCACAGCTGAGGAGGCATGAAACCTGTATAGTGAGGGTGGAGCTACTTCCTAGCACCGTAGAGGAAAATTCCATCAGTGCCTTCTAGACACCAATCTATCCTCTTGGCCTTAGCCAATCTATTTAATATAATCAATCTATAAAATCCCAGCAGTAAATTTACTGCCAACAACTCTATTCTCTGGCTTATGTTTTGCTGCAGTGTGTGTCATCATGAAGCTCTATCCTCAGGCTCAGAGAGGTGTACAGAAATCACTTCCCTCATAGTTTTATTTATTTATTTATTTATTTTTTGAGACAGGGTCTTGCTCTGTCACCTAGGCTAGAGGACAGTGGTGTGATCCTAGCTCGCTGCAGCCTCAAACTCCGGGGCTCAATCCATCTTCCTGCCTCAGCCTCCCAAGTAGCTGGGACTACAGGGAAGTGCCACTATGCCCTGTTCATTTTTTCTGTTTTTTTGTAGAGATGGGGGTCTTGCTCTTGCTCAGGCTGGTCTCAAACTCCTGGCTTCAAGCAATCTTTCTGCCTCAGCTTCCCAGAGTGCTAGGATTACTGGCCTGAGCCACCGTGCCTGGCTTGGATCTTGCTTTTCTTGCCTACAGAGTAAAGGGATTGGAAAAGGTGCTCTATTAAGAGTTCTTCTAACCTAAACATTTTGTAACATTAAAATTCTGAGGAATACTTTTCCCTGAAATATTAGGTAATCAAGCCTCCTGAATTTCACATTTCCACTCATTGAGGTATGGGTGGGAGAAGGGAGACTAAAGCACCTTATCTGCATCTTACATCCACCTTGGAATATGACTTCATTATCTCCCAGTGAACAAGGAGTATGTCTTTCTCATCTCTGTCCTTATCCTATCTTGTCATGGACGGGGACAGGGTAGTTTGGTGTGTTTTTTTTAATTCATTAATTAATATTTTTAGAGACAGGGTCTCACTCTGTTGCCCAGGCTGGAGTGCAGTGGCCCAATCATAGCTCACTATAACCTTGAACTCCTGGGCTCAAGTGATCCTCCTGCCTCAGCTTCCCAAGTAGCTGGTACTACAGGTGTGTACTACCACACTAGGCTAATTAAAAAAATTTTTTTTTCATATAGAGATGAGGGTATTACTATGATTCCCAGGCTGGTCTTGAACTCCTGGCCTCAAGAGATCTTCCCACCTCAGCCTCCCAAAGCGCTGGGATTACAAGTATGAGCCACTGTGCCTAGCCAGAATGGTTTTTGAAAGGGCTTACTCTCCTGTGCTCCTTTGGGACATCATATAACTAAGATGGTGAAATATTGTAGTAAACACAACTTGTTTGCCTCAAAACCTGTGCAGTACAACTTTTCAGTGAACTTTTATGATAACAATGATAGCTGAGATCAGTAGAGCACACACTCTGATCCTGGCACTGTACCAAATGCTTGATGTTTATTATCTTTTTTTTTTTTTTTTTTTTTTTTTTTAGTCTCACTTTGTTGCCCGGGCTAGAGTGCTGTGGCTGAGCCACCAGGAAAAACACCACTGACGCC